AAAATGTATTGATGTTGACATGATAAATTTTTACATTGAAAATGTTCAAAATAATTTGATTAGTATATACATGATATATAGGATTTACTGGAAAAAATACTATAGACGATAACATGGATAATGCATATTTTAAAAATAGGAAAACTGCGTTCTTATTTTAAATTCAAAAAACATCTTAAAGAGAGAAGCATATCTATGTCAGATTAATGAATTTAAGTATCGAGAAAGCTTAACTCAATTTAGAATCAGTGCTCATCAGTTAGCTATTGAGAAAAGATTTTGTGGGCAATGTAAAAATATGCAGGTTGAAGAGGAGTTTCATTTTATAATGGAATGCACTGCATACGAAAAGGAAAGGAATTTTATTCTTAATGAAGCATGTATGCAATGTAAAAACTTTCTTTATATTTCAAAGTACGAACAGGTTATTTGGTTGATGTCCATTGGGTCTGAAAATGTTAATATGTCAGTGTTAAGATTTATTAGCACTTGTTTTAAAATAAGATAAAATTTGCATTCAAGAAACTAAATATACATGTAGTAGTGATGTAGTTTATGTTTTATGTATTAGAGAGGGTTAATATTTTATTTTATTTTCAAACACCATCTGGTATGGAGTATAACAGTTATTTATTCATTCATTTTAAATGTAATACTAAGTATATCATAAAAATTACTGTATTAATACTACTAAATATATATATATATATATATGTATATCCTCGGAAACGGGCCCTTTAATTGGATTAAATAAAATATCCTTATTCTTTTTCTTATTCATATATTTAGGTTAAAAGCGACAATTGTCAAGAAAAATAAATGAAATTGTATCAAAGCAGTTAGAACTAAAGAAGTATAATGAAATGAAAAGACAGCTGTTGGGGGACCAGCCTTTAAATGTTACATCTGAATAATTGGAATTCGAAATAAGCATTATCTTATATTAACATAACATAAACGTTTGGATTTTAGATTTTGTACTTTCAATGAAAAATTAATGTTACACTGCATAGTTAATTAACAAAAAATTCATATTAATATCAATGGGATTCAAGCAAAATATGCAAAGTATTTGGTTTTAATTTCATCTTCAAAAATACTAAATATTTCGAATTGGATACTCATAAAATATATTTTATCGAAATTTCATATCCTTATCACATTTTATGAACCTTGAAATATAGAATTATTCCAGGTGCTCATGAAAAGGCTTGTAAAAATGACCCCTTCAGCTAGCCTGTGAATACCGAAATGGTGAGTTTGAATGCTCCTCTTGGCAGGTTCATTATATTTCGATCTTAGGATTGTGATTTTCCTGCCGAAGGTCCCTGGTTCTCTCTTTGTACTCCAGCTTCTTACGACGAAATAATGGCAACCTTGATATAGCCAAGATTGCTGAAAGTTCTGTTCAACACCATAAATCAATCAACTAATCAATGTACACAATCATTGTACATCTTCTTACATGTATCAATGTAGATATCTTAATGTCAATGCTATTGAATTGTATTATTACGCAAATAGGAAATAACAATTATAACATCTGTATACTTTAAAATTCAAAAATGCATACAAAACTTTACTTGGTTCTTCCCAGGGCCTATTAGCACCATGATGCTAAATTTTTCCTGTCTGAATTGATTTTATAGTGAAAATAAACCCATCATTAATACCATAATTGATAATACGCCAGAAACATTTTGCCAAATACAGCTAAAGTGATAAATTTCTGGGGAAAAATAGCCTTAGTATTTCGCAAATTTTAAAGTTATGTAAACGGTTAATTCATAATGATGACCATATCAATGGTAATTCGTGTCAACTTAGAAGTGATGACTACTGTGCTTGTGATACCCTTCGGGAGGAAAACTCCACCAGCAGTGGCATCGACCCAGTGGTTGTAAATAAACTAATCATAGATGCCAGTAATGAAATTTTGTACATCGAACGCGCGTTTCGTCTACAAAAGATCCATCTTTGACGCTCGAATCAAAAACGTTAAAAAAGGCCAAACAAAGTACGAAGTTGAAGCGCATTGATGACCCAAAATTCCTTTTCTTTTGCTAAATGCAGCTAAGGTTATCCATTCCTGTGGTAGAACAACCCTAGTATTTAAAAAAATCAAAGTTTTATATTCAGTTGATTTATAATTATGACCATATCAATGATAGTTCATGTCACCACAGAAGTGCTGACTACTGGGCTGGTAATACCCTCAATGTATTATAGGTGTGGTGCTATAACTTTGGGGATATAGTTCTATTTTTAAATCATGTGTGTATATGAAAATACTGCAAGCTGTATCATTTACATGTACATGTCAATCAACTAGGCAAGCCTAGATTATTATACAATCAATGAATTTTTTACCTTTGTGCAAAAAAAAAAACAATACAAAAAAACATGAAGTCCGAGTTCCCTTAGAAAATAGAGAAAATTTATCAATAGAAGATGTAAGGATTTTTATTCATTAGGAAATCCAGGCCGTCCGTTTGGAGTCTGGGATAAACAAGTACGCAGTCACGTTCGGTCAGAATATGGACGTTAAGTCCGATGCCTCGCATAGAGAGAGTGTCATGCAAACTTTCAATTAAACAATCAATCAATCAATCAATCAATCAATCAACCAACCAACCAATCAATCAATCAATCTGTTTAATACGGGGTCCATGATCTCATTTGTTTCTTTTTCGCTGGTTCCACGAGACCCTATCCCATGTGTTTAATGAGTATATCAGTAAACCAAACAACCAACCAACCAATCAATCAATCAATCAATCAATCAATCAATCAATGTTTCGGAGGGGAAAGACCGTTAACAATTGTTTTTAAAACAATTGATTTATATTTGTTTTATTGATTTTCTTTAACACATTGTTAATGTCATACAACTAATAGTTATAACACACCAATAATTTGTAAAAAAACAACTAATTATCAATTATATAACATGAAATATTATACATATTACAGACATAGCCTTAGCAAACGTGTTTGTGTTGAATATGGTTGGAAAATTGTCTGTTGGTTCTTAAACATTCAATCAAACCCCTTTTCCTTCTTATGTAAGTACTTGCTTTGTATGTTTTTCGTCAGGAGACAGCACTTTGTAATGAAGTCATTATAATGAAAACAAGAACTGCACTGTGTAAATATTTATTGAGATATGTTATCTCCATACAAAGATGCAGAAGATACGTTACTGTCGTTGAATAGGAAGTCAACAATGCGAAAGCTGAAATTGTAACGTAAACGTTTTGTCAAAGATTATTTGTTGAAGTCGTCCTTGTGAGTCATTATTATAAAAAAAGAATCAGGTAGTTAGCATCCCTTTTAAATTCTAGTAAACAGTACACTCTTAGTATTGAAGAACTCCATAGAAGGAATTAGGAATTCCATAACCGTTTAGACCCTATCAGCTTACTTTTGATTGATTAAGATACACATGTATCAATGGAATTGGAATGACTTTCTATTATTGGGCTCATACCAATATGCATTTCAATTATGCTTAAGTATGTAAATAGTAGCTGGTTCTTATTAACTATGTCCTTTAATTTCCAGTCAGATAGGTTCCTCAAGCATATGCCAACTTTTAAGAAATGTGTTAAAAAGTTGTTTGCATATGCTAAATGTTATATAACAAAGTGTTATGGAAAATAGAATAGTAACAAGGGGGAATTATTTTACAACCCGTTTTATCTCAGTATTAAAGTATTCTGACATTTCATTTTTTTTCGATCCATGTAACAGTGCAAATTTATGTATTTGTAAGTGTAGCTGAACTCTTAAAAGTATTCTACCTCGCCACCTCAAATTAACAAGTATCAGGTTGAGAGGTTTGATGAATATTAAACATTACTATAATATTGTGCATCACAATCATCTGTCAACAGAAAATTGTATCAATATCTTAGTGAGTGTCAAATATTTATCTCAGTACGATATTCGGTGGCAGGGGTTTTAATTTCTGCCTCTGCGAGAATAAAATGGTGGTAGATTTTCGACTTCACGTGTTTCCTCATTCATATTTGCCTTATTTGATGAACTCGTCTATAAATGGTTATAACTAGTTTTGTCTGCTTTCAACAGTGTTTCTTAATAGTTGGGAGAACCTTAAAAACTTTCAGCTTTATTTAGTGGTTGCCATGTTTGTATCGTTTTTGAAGGTAGTTATTTGTAATAATTTTTCGTATTTTCCTTCTAGCTGGAGAATTTCTATCTGGACTGTTTTTTTGACGATTGTTGGTGGTTCTGTCAGGGTATTCCAGCTTTCCCTGCTAACAAAAATGTAAAATTCAGTATCGGACTTACAAAAGATAGATACAATGCATTTATTTATTTTAGGCGACATGACACACTTAACCTTGCGTTATGTTTTAGTTGAGTTTTAATTCTGGCAAAGAGTAGATATACCAAATGTAAACCTCATTCCACTAATCCAAATATTGGTGCAGTAAAAATTGATACCGTTAACATGGTTCTTAATATTCAATCGCCAATATTATATGTATTATATGTCCGTTACTTAATATGAATAATGCATAAAAAGATTCATCAAAGATACGAGGCTTATAATATTGTACCCCAGACGCACGTTTCGTCTACAAAGACTCATCAGTTACGCTCGAATCAAAAAAGTTCTAAGGCCAAATATAGTATGAAGTTGAATAGCATTACGATCAACAATGCCGACAGGGTCTGCCAAATACAGCTACGGTAATCTATTCCTGTGGTAGAACATTCTTAGTTTTACGAAGAATTCAAAGTTGTGTATAAGTTATGTTACCAGTGGTGCAGAGCATATATTTAGCACAACAAATTTTCAAAATATTTTGCGTTCTATATCGTTTAGCTGATTTTGTTTAGGTAATTTTCATAATATAAAAATACTGACTGTTATTAACCTGTAAGCCGTTAGTGTATTGTATTTTGTTTGTTTGCATCAATCTAAAAAATATCGTTCAAATCTTGGCATAGGTTCAAGACACATTCACAAAATGTATAACTAGGAATACTGAAGTACTTTCGTAACAAAATTGAATTGATAATAGTCTATACAGACGGTATAAATTATTCACAAATTCGTGCTTCATCAAACAATAATTATTCAATAGAAATATAAGTTACGAAGTATCTGCAGGTAGGAGTTTTAATTTGTTATTTGAGTTCATTTACACATGTTATAATCTTGCTTTATTTTGGTACATGCAAATTAAATGTTTAATGACTATTCGAAACTACTGTTTTGAGAGATTAAGGAAAATTTAGGTTATTAATACAAAATTTTAAAAAGCCAACAATTACATTGTAAATAATGTTTCCACTATTAAGCAGGATCTTCATACCCTTTCGGAGCATCTGAGGTCACCACCACTTTTTTGTGAAATTTGTGTTTCTTAGTCTTAAGTTCACTATGTTGTGTTATTCAGACTTGTTTGTCTTTTTGTCGTTTTTTGGCGTTGTCAGTTTCAAATTGCATGACTTTTGTAAGGTCGCTGAATATCGTCAGCCTATTTTCATTCACAACATTCATTTTCATTATGTTCAAAAAATGTCAAATTATTAAACCCGCTTACCTAATTAACGTAAATAAAGGCAACAGTAGTATAGGGAAACACATCAAATATAAGAGAAGAAAGACACAACAGAAACACTAAAATGCAACACACACAGAAACGAACTATAAGATAACAATAACCATTTTCCTGACTTGGTACAGGACATTTTAAGAAAAAATGGTGGGTTGAACCTGGTTTTGTGGCTAGCCAAACCTCCCGCTTTAATGGCAATGTTAAATATAACACTGAAATGACAACATTACATGACAGGCCTACATGTACAATACAAATAAATGAAAGAACATACAGGACAGAGAAACACACAAATAAACAATAGAACATTACGACAAGCTAATAGTTATCAAAGGTGCCAGGCCTAAAGATGAAGAGCATTGATGACCCAAAATTCCAAAAAAGTTATGCCAAATACGGCTAGGTTATGATTGATCATCCGCTGTAATGGATGTACGTGTGACTGTTTTTGAAATTTTCCGATATATCATTTAAACTGTTTGTATTCGAACAAATTTGATCAAAGATCGTTCAGTTTCCTTGTATTAGTTTTACATTGGCTATGATTGCAAATGAGATAAATATTGAACAGAAACCGGATGTCACCGTACTGCTTTGAACACAACCCATATCGTGAAGTCAGCTATAAAATGTTCCGACATAACAAAATGTGAATCTATTCAAATGAAAAAAACCAACGGACTGATTTGACTACAACAATAAGCTAAAAAGAAATTTGACTGACAGGAACTTTAGGCAGGCTCCTGACTTGAGACAGGTACATATAGAATGTGGCTGGATTAAACATGTTTGTGATCGCTCAACCCTACCCTAAGTTGAGACAGAGGTCTAACAGCACAACATATCCAACGGATTTAGTGTATAGGCGTTATAAACAGTCTGACAAAAGCATGACCTTGTGGAATGCCTAAATGTATGTACATGATATCGAAGGGATAGAGGACTGTTAGTGTTCATAAGCGTATTAGTTATCTTTTAATTTATCAAAACTGAAATAAAGAAAGACAATATTCATATATTGTGCAACGGTGTCAAATTCATTATCCTTTAGGGGTAAGTTTAATCAAAGGATCAATGAATTTCAATTGGTGATATCTAAATTTACGGCCATAATGAACAACAGTATCGTTAAATCTAGGATGTGATATACTTTTTTTTATAAGAAATATACAGGCACAACCAAATCTCAAACCCAAATATTTGTATCTGTGAAAGAATTAGGTGGAGTTTGAATCAGTTTGAGGTCAAATTGAGTACGACGTTGATGATCATTGAAACCAACACAATCTTTAAAAACTGTAACTGATCTTGGCTAGATCGACTTTTTTCTGGAGGGCAAAAACACCTCAGGCAAAGTTGACATAAGATGAATTCATCTATCCTTTTTATATCCTATTTGGCTCCTATCATTTTTAATCATTTGTACATCATTATACATTCATGGCTTTCAGACAATTACGTTTGGTCGCGCATAATGGAGGTAAATTCCAAACAGCGTGTTTTGTGCACGATTTATCTTTTATAAGACTTTAACATAGATATATATGTAAGTAAATAATGTAAGGAACATTGCTGGAAAATGGCCCCTGTTTGATTAAATTCAGAGTAAATTTTCTCTTTGATTGTTCCGTTTTTAATTATAAGCAAAAACGTGTAACAAAAACACCGAACTCCAAGGTAAATTTCAAAAAGGAAAAGTCCATGAAACTGATACAATCAAAAGTTATCAACTAACGGAGCTTGTGAAAAACAACTATCATATTCCTGACTTGGTATAGGCATTTTCCAAAGAAAATGGTGGGTTAAACCTGGTTTTATGGCTAACTAAATCTCAAACTTGTATGACAGTTGTTTATAGTTTCGTTATATTGACAAAATTTGGTGAGCAACCAAAACAGACATAATAGGTTCATTCAACAAGACTTTCTCTAGATGTTTGTTTGGTACCAGTGTAAGCACAGTTACATATTTTACTAATCTTTTGATGTCATAATCGTGCTTTCCGTTTATTATATTATTCTTTCATCCATAAACATTTGGTGCTATCTAGCTGGAGAATGTCCATCTCGGTTGTTTTCCTGCCGATGGTTAGTGATTCTGTCCGGGTATTCCAGCTTTTTCCAGGAATAGAAATGTAAAATGTAGGATCTGACTTATAAAACATATTTACAATGCATTTATAACATAACATACTCAACTGTTAAGTTGTGTTTCAGGTAAGATCTTTTAATGGAGAACAGAAGATAATACAATCTTATTCCACTAAAGAAAACATTGGCATCCAATCGCCTTTACAAAATGTATTATATGTCTCTTTACTTATTATAATTATATATAAGTTATGTCGCCAGTGCAGAACATATATTAAGCACAACAGATTTTCAAAATATTGTGCGTTCTATTTGTTTATCTGGTTTAGTTTAAGTTGTTTTCATTAATTAAAAATACTGACTGTAATTATCTATAATTATCTGTAATTATGGCGTTAGTGTATTGTATTTTGTTTGTTTGAAGATATTGTTTAAATCTTTGCAAGGGTTCAAGACACATTTATATAAGGTTTTACCAGGAAGTCTGCAGCTCTATTGAAACGAAATTTATTTATAATTACAAGTTATACAGACGGTTAATATTCTTTAAAAATTCGTGCTTCATCAAACAATAATTATTTGATTGAAATACACTATAAGTAGTATCTGCAGGTAAGGGATTTAATCTGTATTTGAGTTTCATTCACATATGTAAAAATCTTGCTTCATATTGGAACACGCAAATGTATATTTATGATCATCTTCGCTAGCCAATGCATGGGTTACGATCCAGTCCCCTCCTCTCCACGTGAAGAGGAGCAGGTCGGATCGTAACCCTTGACTAGCAAAGATGAGTTATGATTCGAAACTACAGTTTCGGAAATTGGGGAAAATTTCAATGTATATCCAAATTGAAAAATGTCCAAAATTACATTGTCAATAAAGTTGCAACTATTGGAGCAATATCTACTCACCCGCTTGGAGCACCTAAGATCATCCCAGGATTTTGGTAAGGGTTGAGCAGTCTTTAGTTTTCTACGTTGTGCTTCGTGGACTTGTTTTTCTTTTCGTCGTTTTATTGCCAGAGCGTTGTCAGCTTATCTCGACCTTTGAGTTTTGAATGTCCGCTTAATATCTTCTGCCTCTGTTTATTTACACCATTATGAAACAAAGAAATTCATTTAGTTCTTGTTCTTTTTCGATAAAATGCTTTACTAAAACATGTAAAATGTAAAAATTATAAAAACCGTTTTCAAAACTGATTTAGAATCTTTCGGTTTCCTTGTATTTTTTTTTTTTTTTTATGTATTTTTTATGAAAGCAACGGAGATAACTATTCAATAGAATCCCAATATAGCGGTTTTAAGTTATAGATTACCGAACGGCCTTGAACAAACCCCATACCGTTAAGTCAGCTATAAAAGGCCCCGACATCACAAAATGTGAATCAATTCTAACGAAAAAAAAAACAATCCTGATTGACAAATCAACAATAAACGAAAAGGAAATTTGTCACACAGCAACCAACGACAACCATTGAATTACGGACTAATGAGTCGATCGACACGCAGCTAAAAAAAAAACAGAAAGACAAAAGAAACAAGTTACCGATCTAAGAGTACTCGTAGTTACTGAAAGCTAGTTTGAAACGATTAACACAGTTTCTGGCTTTTACAAACACTCAGTCATCTGATGTAAAACAATACGGGAATCTAGCACATGCTAACTGAGAGTCATTGCTCATTAATATTATCCAAGGCACGGAAACTAGTTCATTTGGAATAGATAGTTTCTAAATTAGGTTTAAATTATAATTTTCTAAAGTGGTTGAACTGTTTTTGCTGATTTTTTTCTCAAAGGTAAGAATAATACGTTCAATCTATTAAACCTTAATCATTTATGAAGAACTTTTGAGTTGATGACCGGAGTAAACTTCATAAGAACATAATTTGATTCCAAATTTGGATTCTAAATTTGGCATTAGAACAAAATACATGTAGACAATGATGTAACAGCGTCGATAAAGAAAATTTTTTTTTTCAATCTTCTTTTCAAAAAGTTTACTAGCAATAATAAAACATTGTCATCACATTTAATATATTGAAATGATGGACTGCAGAAAGATCTGTTTGCACCTTATTGCACATAGATTCAAGGAATGATATTTGAACATATTGAACCCCACACGAAACATGGTTAACATAGTATAAAATATATTTAAGGTACAAATTGACCATACTAATAATAAGATTATAGGTATCTCAAAACACATGCATTACCCTGCTTTTTTTTTTCGATTTAGTGATGCATTTTCAGTCATTGTTATGTTTTCCTAGGAATATAGGTTATATTCATGTATATTGTGTACGCAACACATACCATTTTCTATAGAACCGTATTGTTGGTCTCACGATAGTGAGCTGGTCTCGTGTTTGGAGTCGAAGATTTGAAGCCCTGCCCGTCACACTTAAAACTTTTCAGCGAAACAGGGGTAATTTGGTTATACTAGAAAAGTCGAT